CCTCCGTCACACTCTTCACTCTCTTTCCCCAAAATAACTGTTACTACTTCAATTTCTCAACAGTGGCTCACCTCTATTATAAAAATTCTATTTTCTGTGACGACAGTAAGCTTGAATGTGTTTGTGTGTACAGCAGATCTACTTAGCAGCACAGTGTAAGCAGCAGATATCTCAGTAAATTAACTAGCACATGCACGCACATTCGTGCACATAAACAGGGTTTTAATAGGGAAATAATGTCTGGTATGTCCTAGGGTGAGATGTGGTTGCCCCTGGAGATAGATGTAGTTTTTATACTATCGTGTTGTGCTTTCTGCAACTGGACTGTCACTCTGTTCTGCTGACTGCTGCAGAACTCTGATTCAGTGCATTTCTGTGATGTGATCTTTATCCTGGTCCTTCTCAGAAATGCTAGCAATGCATGAAGGAATTCAATCCCAAAGGCCTTACAGTCTGTTTAGATCTGCAGATTGCATAATATTAGTCTTTGCTGTCTTCTCTGAGAATGTAGAATTTCTCGAGCTGTGTTTCATCACATACACGTTTTGTTCTGTATATGTAACAGTAGTCAGAAAAGCAGTGAAGGAAAACATGCTTTGTACTAGAATGTCATTTATTGCACACTGTGGCAAAAATGGTGCATGCATCTCCGTGAACGTGCTGTACTGGTGATAAACCTTCATGTCATTAAGTGAAATGCACCATATGCTGCAAAGTACTGCTGTTCTTTGCTTTTTTCATACTCCTTTTATGTTCTGTTTGTTCTGATACTAAATAATGGTGAGAAAAGTACTGAGTTGGTTAACTCAGTACTGGACTGCTGACTCCCCTCCGTGGTTAAACAAGGATCAAGAAATCTAGCATCTCATGATCACTATGCCCCAGATGGCCTCCAACCTTTATATCCCCCACAAGACCTTATCTGTTAACAAATAGCAGGCCCAGGATTTTGCTTCCCCTTGTCACCAGCTGTGTCAGGAAGTTATCTCCCACACACTCTAGGAACCTCCAGGACTGTTCACTGTTTGCTGTATTATAAATCCAGCTGATGTCTGGGAAGATGAAGTATCCCAGAACAACGGGGAGAGACCTTGAGACTTCACCCAACTGTCTATAAACTGTCTGTGTGCCTCTTCATCCTGGCTGGGTGGCCTGTAGCAGACTCTCAAGATAATATCAGTCTTATTGGCCTTCACTTTTATTCTGACCCACAAGCTCTCAACCCTATCATCACCATCATTAATTTCCATACATTCACATTATTTCTTAACATAGAGGACCGCACCACTGCCTATCCTGCCTTGCCTATCTCTTTTGAAAAGTCGGTAGCCATCCATCACAGGACTCCAGCTGTGTGACTCATTTCACCATGTTTCCATGATGGCTACTATATTCTACTATATACTACTTTCCAACTGCACAATGGCCTCCAGCTCCTCCTGTTTATTACCCATGCTGCATGGATTAGTGTAAAGGCACCTGAGCTGGGTCTCCTTTTGAGTGGCAGTAGCCCTAATAGCCTCATGACCATACTCAGATGTTTCCACAGCCACCAACCTCACACCAACTCTCAAGTTCTTCCTACAAAAGGGTGAGTTGTCCAGGTATTAATCATATTATTTCCTCATCATTCCCTGCAACTGGAGGGATACAGGAGAACAGAACTTGTGCTCCCAAACCCTTTGCCTATTGCCCCAAGGCTCTGAAGTCCTTTTTCAAAGTCTTTAGGGAAGTTCTTTCTATATTATCACTGTCTACCTGAAACAACAATGGGGGATAGCAATCTGAGGGCTGAACTAGGGAAGGAAGTTTCTTCCTCATGTCATGGGGGTGGGGGTGTAATTGGGCTCACTAGAACAGAGCCTGTATGTCCCAGGAAGCAGCAGACCTCTCTGTGTAGAGGATCTGGCCTACATATTGGCCCTTCTGCTCCCTTCAGCAGTGAGTCACCAATGATAATGACCTGCCATTTTTTCTTTGCCGATGAGGTTTTAATGCTAAGTGAGTTCTGGTTAGACTTTTGTAACACCACCAACTGGGGAGAACCATTCTCACCACCAAATAATTACACTTCCATTTTTCTTTGAAGTGAAATTAATTGTTTTGTAATATTTACATTTGTAACTTTGCATTCGTAAGGAAAAATGTGAGGGCTGGGCTGGAGGCCGGCTGAAAATCTGGTCGTGCATATTCTGCAAAAAAGTATTACTCAAATTTCTCACAGGTGAATAAACTGCATGCGTGGGTGAATCTAGTTAATTCCATAGTTTAATAAACCTAGAATCCCAATGAGGCTATAACAAATTCCCCTAGTGTCTTGGAGTTATGAGAAAGATGTATAAAATTATATGCAAGCAGAAGAGTTCTTTCTAAATATGAAGAGGTTTTTTGCGCGTTATATTTTTTTGTTCTATTTGCAATGTGAAATAACTTGTCTGTGGTTACCATGATTAAGTAGTAGATCGTTTATTGTGCGAGGGCAATATCTGGCATCAACATGCATCCAGCCACTTTTTTCTTCTTTGAATAATTTGTTTTTGAAACAGTTTGTAGCATTAAGATAAATGTGTCTGTCTTAACATCCCTCTGAGAAAAATGGTTATTTATGCAAGTGGAAATTTCTGCTGCTTCCTCATCAGAGAGCAGTGCCTTGTCTTAAATTGTGCCATCTTAATAAGTCACATGTGGATCACAGATCAGAACCCATTCTATAGTTAGAAACACAACAATTGTGTGTTGGCTAGGAGTTATGCGTTTCTCGAAACAACTGAAAGCAATGTAACTGCCTAAGTTTTCTGTACAAATGTGGAGTTCTTGGATGGTAAACCTTCCACAATAGAAATATCAAATAGAAAAGGATAATTCCACACTGGGCTCTTTTTGCTGTGTCTTGATGCAGAACCAAAATCCCAGGTTAGCAGATTTATTTATTTATTTATTTATTTATTGTGAGAGTATTATGTATACATCTGCTATTTTACTGGCATTCACAGGGACAAGATAGTTCTTCCAAGAAATCTGGAGTTTGTTGGAAAGGATGTATGCATTCAGATATAAAATAAAGCAACTCCATGTTATCATGGGAAGATCCCACCATATCCCCAGCAAAAGGAATCTGTTTTTTTTTTCTGTTTATAGCTTCTGAATTGAGGAACAGCTTCTGTCTTTATTTTCCACTGAATTCCACTGAATAAGCGGGTAAATGTTAATATCCTCCTCTCTCTAAAAATCTGCATGGATTTTTACAACAAAGGTGAAACAAAATAGCAGAAACTGGCCTTCAAAATTTTCAATTAGTTAAGATCTTTGGAATTCAGATGGAAAAAGAATGAAGCTGAAGGAAATGATGGTCAATAACTTTCCACTGAATGAACTTCAAAAATCATAGTTTTATTAATAGGTGAGAGAGGATAAAATGCACAAAATAGTAGCTAAATTTCTGGGAAGCCATATACTCTGTACTAGTTTAGAAGATCATAACTACGTGAAATTGGGATGAAACTGAATTGATTACAATCTGATATTTGCTACACTTCAGCACTGCTGGCAGAATCTCATCCATCTAACTAAACGTGCATAACATGCTTTCTTAGCACTTTCACAGAGTCTTGAGTTCGTAATGGCAGTTTAAGTGCATCTTTTCCAATTATTACACAACACAAATTTCGTCTGTGCTAATAAAACTTAAGAAAAATTAAAATACACGTTTTAATATTAGAAGTCTATTTAATTATAGCTAATGCCTTTACCTGTATTAGCACGTATATTTTTCATTGAGTCTGCATTATAATTTTCCATTTATTACTGTGAACATTCTTTTAATGTATACCTGTAATCTAACATAGACCATGGCTAGTAGACACCCAAGCTCTAAATTTGTCTTATCATTCTTATCGTAGCCCACCCACCAAAAGAGAATTCTGATGTGAGCAGTAAACATTCTACATGGAAGGTCAAGGTGACAACCTCTGTGTTGCAGTGAATTTGCAGTGAACCTGAATTGCTGCAGTCATCGGAATCTTTAAGAAATGAAGGCCTGCTGTGTCTGCCTATTTCTTGAGAGTAAGTACTGGCCTGAAAAACATTCCTCAGCAAAAGAGCTTATCCAAGAAGGCAGTGCCCTAAATTCTGCTCTGCTCACCGGCAACCAGGTAAAATTTATTTCTCTCAGGATTTTTTTTTTTTTTTTTTGCTAATTAACTGTTTTCTGGATGAGGTGATTATGTTGGTAAACTATTTAAAGCCATTATGATGAAAATTGCCAGGAAATGAATTCACACAGTCTTGGTGCCTCTTGATTTATTTATTTATTTTTTTTACCAGGGCTTTGAAACACTGCTGAGGTTTTGGCTTACCTATCTTTTCTTGCTATTAATTTCTGTCACACTCAGTAATTGACCTAATAAAGGCAAAGGCAAGAATTTATTATACCCTGGGCAATACTTAACATCAACTTTATTTGCTGGAGCAGCGCTTCTAATCTACAAGCTGCTGTACGTTTTGACAGTCCTTCTAAATATTAAATTTGACTCTATTAAATGTTGAATCTTATGTTTTTGGTTGCTGCTGTTTTTGCAGTTTCTAAGGCAGACTAGTGCATATATAAACGTATCATTTTAATGAAGCTTTTGGAGAAACAAGTTAAGCTGTGGCTGTATCTATTTTGTTACTGCCAAAATCCATGAAAACTCTGTGATATAAAGACTAGTTTCTGTAATGCTTTGTGAATTAGTTTGAAATAATTCCTGTGATGTCTTGAGAGAACAAAGATGAGAACTATTCAACTTTTCATACCCCTCCCACGCTTAGGATTTGATGAAATTTTCCTTAGGCAAGTTTGTTTAAAATGGTTTGCAGAAATACAGTAAAAATTAAAACCAGGTTAGATTTTCATGCAGTAATCTTCACTGTTGAATCTGTTTTTCTACCATGTATCAGACGGTACAATCATCTATCACCCCCAGAAAAGGTCTGAAGAAATAGTACTACGTGATCCTGGAATTGTTTATGCAGGAATTTTTATTCTTGGAAATCTTTCAGTGTTAAAGCAACAAGAAAACATATAGAATGTCCTTTGGTGGAATCTTATTACACTCGTTATATATGTAAACTGATATTCTTTGATGCCAGCACGTTGCCCATACAGAGAAATCTCTGCACAATTAAATGAAAGGTAAAAGAAAAGGACTAAATAAAAAGTAATTTTTCTCTTATCTGATTAGAATTAAATACATTAACAAATTGTCTGGTAACACAAATAGGCAATAATACAAAAAATCTACATTGTACATTATTTCAAGAAAAATAACTTCATTTGAATACAAAAGGATAAATACACTTTTTTGTCCTATAGCCACTCTTGTACAGTAGGTGAACACGGCATCGTACTGATGCGGTGCTGCTAAGGTATACAAGGATATGACTGGCTTGAGTTTTATTGAGGGGGCTGTTACACATGTGCATCACTAACATCAGACAAAGAAATCTTTCAACCAACAAGGGTTACAGAGCAACGTTCACTAAAGCACAGGTTGGAGAGGATTCGGGGACTGAAGCAGGCCAATATGGCAGCTTTTACAGATTTCCTTATACCCACAATGCACTGACAGCAAAGAATGCCTTTATTTGGTTGGTCCCCACACTGGGCGGAGGTACAGCAGCGCACCAGAGAGGAGTAGCAAATGTTTTTCGTTTCCCTTCCCGTTTTGGGGCTGTCCAAGCTGTTTGTCCTCTGTGAGCCTGGCAGCCAGCACTGATTGGGCAGAGCAGGAGCTGCCAGTCCATCTCCGGTTGTGGTGAGCAGTCTTGACTCAGAGTGCCGTCCATAACTGATTAATATGGCTTAGTTCAGTTAGGCCTTCCAAGTTTGTATGTGTTATTTTTTTCTTTCTTTTTCCTTTTTGAGATTTCAGTAGCAAACACTTGGATTTTGTTTTGTTTTCATGTGGCATGTTCTTTTGAAGCAGTCCAAATACAATGCCATCGACCAAACGAAGCCTAGCACATGTGAAGTCTGGCTGCTCCTAGTAGGGCCATCAGCAGTAATAAGGGACTGTGGGATATTGCCCCCTGGGTGGAGCTTTGGCTGCAGCCTCCTGGATCCCGTTCACACTTAAGCTTCTCACATAAGATGCCAGTGTAGGCTGGAGGGCACTGGCACCGCACGTTGTTGATGCATGTCCCTCCATTCTGGCAGTGCAGGAGCTCATTGTCGCACACATTTGCTGCAAGACAGCAGGGGAGGGAGCAAGAGAAAAGCAGAATAAATACCAGTTCGTCTACAGGAAAAGTCTGCATGGAAAGCAAAATTAAAATGCTGTGGCTCATCTCACACCTCCCTCCTCTTCCTGAGACATGGGAACAGGGGAAACAATCTGGTTTTTAAACACTTCACATTGGAATTTTGGTATTTTATTTGCTAGTTTTCCATCTTTTCTAATCAGTAGTCTTGGGGAAACTTATCGTTCACTTCAGACCATTGAATATTAATGAATTAATATTAATAATGAATTAATAATGAATTATGTATATTAATACCCGCTTTGTGCCAGTGTCTGCGTTTTTATAGTTTCTACTAAAGTGGAACTGTAGGGATGCTGTTACTTGAAAGGGACAAGGTATCCAAAGCATTTGGGCAATGCAAACAGTGTAAAAAATGCAACGTGGCTTTACTAAAGTGAAAAGATCTGTATGAGAAGGCAAGATTTTATAACCAAGAACTGTGCGTATCAATGATCTGAATAAAAATATGCAAAAAATATAAGGCAAGCACAGGCAGGAAAATCAGCATGCTATCCAATGGGGATTTTATGCTATGTGCATACGGAAATAAAAGATAGTTATTTCCATTACAGATCAAATATTTCTTCTTAATTAGATTTGCTACTTTGGTACAAGGGGTAACTGGCAACTCAAAACTATCTTGGTTAGACATTGTAGCCCAATAGAATGACTTCAGAAGTCAGATTTGACAAAAGATTTGAGAGAAAATAACACAGGCAGCAGCTACATAGTATTTTCTATTTGAAAATCTGGCAGCTTTGTTTTTTTAAACTATCAAAATATTTCATTTGTTAAATATGTAGAGACAAGAGGAACATAGTACTTGAATGTGCCAATCTGTTTTATTTTGGAGAACAACAATGGTAAAATGTGTCCTATGTATACAGCTCTGTCTTCCACAGGAGTGTTAATTTTAGTAAAGATTTGCACCTTCTATTTAAGCAGGATGTGACAGAAGAAACTTTCCCTCAGGGAACTAGAGAACGGTTTGGTTGAAACAGTCTCAGCATTATATGCTGTTTATACATATATTAGCCTGGAAATAACCTTAATAATTCAGACTAAGGGAAAATTATTCTTAATTTCACTTAAAACATTCTATTTAGCTCTACAAAATTGTGTATAGCAGTTTTATAGATGTTAATTTCTTTTTTTAAAAAAATGCAGTTTTATCAGAACTAAAATCCAAACAGCCCAAGCCCTTAAGTGATGCTTTTCTACATAAATCTGTACAATTTCGTGTTCTCAGAATATTACTGGCAATGTTTTATGTCCAGGCCTTCATTCCAAAAAAGAAAAATTCTCTGGACTTTGGAAGGACACTGAGAAAGGGTTTTCTAATGTTCTGCATTCATGTGAGCCAAATAATAACACAATGTTAGAAACTTACACAGATCTAATTGAGAGAGAGCAGCTAAACTATCTGTCTCAGTGATACTGTCAATAATCAAAGCCCCTTTCTGAGAGCTCTGGATTAAAATTTTTTGTCCTGTTTCTGAACTGCCATGTCAGGATCTGGATACTAAGGTACCAGGAAGGTGACAGATGTATGTCTGAATTTGAATGTTCTCTTATATTCACTGTAATAGTGTTTATTATGTACAAGAAATAATAAATCATCACCAAATAAGTATGGTGAACTTAACAACCTAGAAAAATATCATGATAACAGGCCAAAAAAAAGTTTTTTGAAAACCTATATCTGAGGTATATAGCCTCAATCACAACAGTTATGTAGTTAATGCTGACCTTGTTATTCAGGCTTCATATTCAATTTTTATATAGGTAAATATATGTAATAATAATAAAAAAAAATTGACAGTATGTTTACTGTGCCTATTTGCTCTGGACTACTCATTGCAAATTAGGCAGCAAAAATGGTGAAATATCTGTTCCACCAGTACTGACCATTGTTTGCCTTGATTAATTGAAAGAAAATCGATAGTCAATTAAATACTGCTTTTTAAATGGTAGATATTTCACTTCATGTTTGTCCCTGAATATATTATCTGTCTTTTTCTGAGTATTTGCCAAAAACAAATTTGTTTTCCAATAACTTTACAGTTATCTTGCCAATCATAGCTTTTTGTCTAGGAGGCCATCCACCCAGATGCTGGTTGTCGTGTTACAGAGTGCTGGATATGGGTGACTGATGTGGCTCTGTGCTCCATGAGGGCTGCTCTGCCTTACGCACTGATGCATGGTGATGAAAAGTCCCTGTGTAATTATTGTTGCCTACAAAATACTGGATACAGAGTTACAGATGTGAAGCTTTTAATTCAGACTGTTAATATATTATTAAAAAGCTTTCTTTCAAGTACTTAAGGAATGAACCAAAAAACTTCAGTATTTTACGCACAGAAGTTTGCCTGCAGAAATGCATTAAGGTAAATACAGTAGAGTTTAATGTTCTTAGTACTTGCAGCTGGAAATTTTTCAGCTGTTAGTCTTGTATTGTCAAAGATTTCTTTAGTTTTTCACTTGCACCCATGTGTATGTATCATGTAGGTAACAAATGCAGCCATTTGGAAGGGAAACAAATCTGAAATCTCCCTCCCTGTCTTCCCCCCCCTCACCTTCTGGATGGCCTGGTGAGGATTATATTTAAGACCTAAATATTAACTACTTCTTATCTAACCATTTTTATGTTTATTTAACTTAGGATTTGGATTCTCGATCGCTAATGAGTGCAACACATCAGCAGTATGAAGTACTTTCATTGGAGTGTTTTCACTGAAGTCTAGAATGAAATTTATTCATCAAATAAAACAAGTCAACATGCTGCCAAGTATTTTAGGCAAGAATATTAACTGTTGTTTGGAAAATTAATAATGTTTCTAATGTTAATTTGGTATTTTGCTAGGATATGCATTGTAACGTGTATTTCAGAAGCAGCTCTCTGGCTCATTCTGAGGAGGTGGTGATGTGGCAGCTGCTGAGCAGAGCAGGGGGAGCCAGGACCTTGGGCTGCCTGCTCTATGTGGAAGCCCAAGAAGTACTTGTGCGGGCAGGTAGGGCTGATGAAGTCCAGCACACAGGTAACCCTTAGTCTTTTCTTTTCCCTGAGCATTGAGCCTGAAAACACGGGGCTTTTCTGCACTCTGCATCCCTCCTGCATTCTGTTACATTTGGGCAATGTCCCTGCCCCCTCATAGCAAAACTTTCTCTCCACTGCTGAGAAGTGCTGAACCATCTTTGCCTTACCTTCATTATTGGTTTATGGTTCATTGGTTTATGGTCTAAGCTATAGTCTGATTATGGAATCCTTAAAAACATTACACAAAGGAGACAGAAAAAAGCCATGTGTGAATATGGGGGAAAACCACTGACAACAAACAAGTGTCTTCAACTAGTAGGAGATGGTAATTACTTTTTAAGCTAAAACTTACACGTCTTTTCCAAAATATTTATTAATAAGTTATTGAAGCTCCTTTTGTAGGATAAGGCCTTTATAAATACTGCATGATGACTTAGCTCAATTTACAAAAATATTTGCAGGAAACTATTTGATTTGTAAGTCTAATGTCATTAAATTTGCAAATAGAATAAAAAAGGGAAATAATGGGAAGAAAACCTGGTCTTTCCACTAGTTTAAGCTGTTCAAGAAGTAATTGATATGTGTTTCTGAGAATTTTTTAGGTATCTAATGAAATATATTGAGTAGTGTAGATGTTTGACAAATGTCTACTTTCCTCTTAAAAGTTCAGACACAAATATTGCATGATAGTTTCTGAGTCTGTCCAAAACTCTATTATCATAACAGCTTCTTGGAAAAAAAAGGGAGATTATATTAGGACTGATTTTAGCTATGAAGCTAAAGTGTAGACACAGTAATACAAATGCAAGCCATGTTCTTTTTGATCTGGAGTGTCACCTCGGACATAGCATTGCACTGATGGCTGACGTTCTTTCTGTCTACTGTCTTGGGTTTTTCAGAGCCCATGCAAGGGCTTTGGTCTGACTGCTGCTCAGATAAGAAAAAAAATACCATAATGGGTTTAAGACTAATTTCTTTTAGCCTCTTATCCTTCAGGGAGGCCATTAAAGAGAGGAAAAAGTATATTTTGTACCTTGCTTCATACTACCTTTGTTTTGGTTCAGCTTGCCTACAGTAGCATCATATACAGGTGGGTCAGCCAAACAAACATGAGGAAGGATGGAACACTCACTTAAAAAACAAGCAGACAAAAATGCCAAACCAAAACAATTTTTTTGATCTGAGATACACGGCATTCCTTTTCTCGCCAGAGTCAGGACTGATTTTGAAATGTTTGTTGTTTGTAGAAACAGCATAAAGATCATTAACAGTGAAATTAAAGAAATATATCTTTTTATTAGAAGTCCTTTTTTATTTTATCGAGAATTCTTAACCCCTTCATTACAAGCAGTGTGTTTTTTTTTTTAGATCTCTCCCACCACTGTTTTTCTTCATTGCACTTTTTTTTTTTATTATATCATTTCTTACAGCTCCCTTCTTTCAACTGTCTCTACACTTGTACTTTTCATCTTACGGAGCCTGCATCTTATAGGATTTGGACATGTTGATGGGTTCACCTCTTAGTATACTACACAGTTTGGTCTATTCTAGAGAACTGTCACAGGTTTTTGCTCTATTTCTGCTGCAGTGAATTTTCCTTACTGTTCCTCTGTAATTTGTATGAATGGTGCTACCAAAATCACGAGAATTTTTGGATTGGATTTCAGCCATCCTTAATAACTGAAAGCATGCAGGCCTAGTGGCTGAAGAAAAAATGGGCATTATTCTTTAAAAATATAATCATTTAAACAGTTTTAAAACAAAGCAAAACAACAGCCCCTTCTTCCTTCTCCCTCTAGAACAAAAAATATATGTATATATTAAAAAAAAAAACAAACAATGAACAACAAAACCGAACAACTGCAACAAAAAAGGAAGCTTGTTTATAGCTAGGAATATTGCCAC